ACACAAAATAAAAAAAAAAAAAAAATAAATAAAATAAAAATAAAAAATAAAAAATAAAAAATAAAAATACAAACAAAAGGAATAAAATAAAATAAAAAAAATATTTACAATTTTACAATGAATATTAAAATAAACTAATTGAATTTTTTTGTTTTTACGATATTTTACAAGTATTAATTAAAAGTAAATAAGCTTACATATATAAAGGTGGTGGGTTAAAATATGGAAGGTTTAAATTTTGGAAATTTTGGAAATATAATAATTGATCGACATTTTCTTCGCTGAAAATGTATTCTTCTATGTTTGTTACGGGATTTTCCTCAAATTGTTCGAATTGTATATTATAAGACGGCGTAAATTGATTAACGTTAAGATTCAAATCCAAATCTGGATTATCGTAAATATCGTTCGATTCTTGAGTATAATTTGATTCGATGTTTTGAGAATTCGGATTCTCCGATATGTTACACGACGGAATTTTTGGTTCAACGGAAGACGGTTTATTTTCTTTATTGTTCCTTTTTGATGGTTTTGAAGTAAATTCGGTATCGACGGGTACAAATTGATAAAATATCTTGTCATTAGAAGAAACGGCCGGTCTGAACTTTGTATTAACTTCGGATTTATCTTTCTTTATCTTTTCGCATTGATTTCGTTTGCGAGAAGAATATTTAGAATTTTTCCATACAATTTTGTATGATGCGGTTTTTTTACGTTTTTCGTTTAATTCAACTTCTACTTCTTGAGCTATTTTACGATAGGCATCTTTTACATTATCTGGTTCACCTTTCCAATAATTGCTTACTAGCTTAGAAACATCAGTCATTCTAAGATTATGATTTTGTCGATTGAGTTCGTTTAAAAATGCTTTACGATAAATTAAAAATGCGTTTGGACTTTTTGACTTGAATCTAGAAGGTTTACGTCTATTTACAATATCGATTGCCTTAATAATTGGCGGAAATGGGAGTGCAATTTTTGTATTTGTGTTTGAAGATTGACAAGTCATTTTCATTGTTTCAATCTTTGGATATCTCGTTTTTTTTTAGTTTTTTAGTTCCTTTTTTTTTTCTGCATAAACAAACGAAATCAATTAATCCAAATGTAGAAAACAAATTCATCATTAAAATATTTTTGTGTAGGCTTATCAATTATATTCTTCCAGATTTGTTTTGGTTCATTTTTTGTTTTAATATAACAACAAGAAAGAAATTTTAATGTATGTATATTAATGTAACAATCAAAAATCATTCATTATCGAGAATATATATATTATATATGTATATATATATAATATTTTAATTATAATATATTTTTTGTTACCTATATATATTGTGTTTTGAATATATGTATATCGACGATCATTAATATTATTGATATTTGATCAATCCCAAATTAATCAAATTGACTGTATATTATACAAACACGTTTCGTCATTTGTGTCACAATAAAGTTATTTTTATAATTTTTATAACCAAATATTTATGCGTAATGACGAATTTCGTTGTGCGCAGATACCAAATAAAAAATATTTCGTCATAAGTTTTTTTTGTAATGTTTAATTAATAATTTTATTTTGGGTTTGATTATTGGCCAAAAAAAAAATCTCAATAAAAAGAGAAATCGGGCTTACAAAGCCGATAATATAATTTCTTAATAAAATCAATTGGCCGTTCAAAAAAAAAAAAAAATAATATTTTAAAAAAGATTTTAAATCCATGCAATAAAAAATAATTTATTCAACATAAAAACAACGTAATGTTCTTTCTATTCTTAGTTTTTATTGATAAATTTCGTTGACCCCATGTTACAAAGATTATCAGCCAAAATATCTTAAGTTCTTATGACGTAAAATTACCAAATTTGAAACTCTCTCCGAGTACAAAGAAAGAAAGTTTATTATTTATATTTTCTATACAAGGACCCATTGTAACTATACCTTCGAGGTGTAGCTTAATAAAACAAATGAAATAACTTATCGCGTTTTTTGCATATTTATTGTTCTTTTTTAAATCAAAAAAGTAAAATTATTAATCATTCAGTTTTGTTCAGTTCTTTTTGCATTATATGAATATAATTAATATAAATTAATATTCTAATTTGGTTTCCATTGAAACTATTTATGATTCTTTGTTCTCAGAATTTTTAAGAACTTATGCAATTTTCACAATGAAATGCGGTAAACATTATGATGTAAAACTTTTGGAGCTTAATTGTTTCACAACTAAACATTATAAACAAAATAAAGTTTTTTTTTTTTCATATGTGACATATTCATATTTGTTTAGAACATAATATTTTATAATAATTTACATATGCATTACGTTAAATATATATATACTGTATTATCGTTAGATGAGATCATATAAATAAATAAAATAATTATATAATTGTATAATATACAACATAATATATGACATTATATATCAACATTATATATCAACATTATATAAAATATATAACTTAAAATATAACTTAAAATACATATATATACATTTTATACATTTATACGTGTAATATAATCGATTAAGTTTAAAGATAATGTATAAGCCTAATGACCAAACTTAGAATATTGAAGGGGCATCGATTATTTTTGAACGGTGAGACGAATCACAATTTTTACGTGTTCGAAACCTAATTATTAGGTTAGTTTCGGATTTTAATTCGTTATGATTTTTGTGGCTTTTAATAAAACGTTCCTCGTGTAAAACTTTTTTTATATATCCATTTAAGAAAATTTGGCGAAATATTTAAAACACAAGAATATTTTTTCTTTGTACGCTAAAAATAATCATGACGCGTATTATACGTTTGAAACTAAACGTGCAAAAAAGAACATGATTCTAAAATTCTTGTATCAATTGATCTTATGCGGTGAAATATATCGTAATTTATTGAAATTTATTGTAATTTATTGAATTTTATTGAATTTGATCTTTTATATATATATATATATATATATAATATAGGAAAAGAAAGAATAAAAAGGATAATCAATTTTCCACCTGACTTGAAAACAAAAAAAGATTATAATAAAGAAAACAATATATTATAATATATTTTTTTATTGGTAGTTGACCGATCTTTTTTTATTAGATTCTTGAGTACGTAATTATATTCCACATAAAATTCTAACCCAATATGTAGTATATATTGAACCGCTACCGTCACACAATCTTGTAAATGGTCAAATAATGAAGATAATGACATAGTGAATATCTTTTTTTTTTTTTTATTAAAATCAATATTTACATATATACATTTCATTGATTTCATTGTTTTTTTTGCATTTTCATGGTATAATTTGGATGAACAATTGTATCACGTTGTGTTAAAATACTTGTGTCACCAACATTTTTTTAATATACATTTATGATATGCACCATATACACATTTCTATTAACAGACAATTTTGGTCGATCATTTTGTCGTTCTTTTTTTAACAAAAAAATTAAACAAATAATATTCTTATTATCATTTTTTAACCAATTAATGAAGTATTTTATTAAAAAATATTATTAGTTTTAATATAAAAATATAATAAAAAATATGATTGGTTATATGATTGGTTATCCCTTGTTCTGGTTATCCCTTGTTCTAGTCGAATAGTCCAAGAATTTTCCGATCGTTTAAAATGATAATTAAAATAAATTAAAATAATTAAAAATAATTTTTATATTTTAAATATTTTGTATTTTATATTTTGTATTTTATATTTTATATTTTAATTTTTAATTTTATTTTTTTTTTGTTCTGTTCTATTCTTAATATTATCTAATTTATTACTTAAGATTATTTTAAAATCGTTTTTAGGAGGGCTTTATTATAGAGTAATTAAAAATTTCCAAATAAAGTAAATGGTCATTTCTATGTTATTCTAAATAGGATAATAAATTACGTCATTTGACCTATATAATGTCTAAATATGGATTATGCAAAAATAGCAGCAAAAAAAATTTTCAATTGTTGTTTTAAACTATCTTTTCATTACCTTTCTCATAAATGGTGTAGGCTGATTCATTTTGGTATATTTGAATGAAAAAGAATGAACAAGTAATTCGGGTAACAGATGACGGGCGGTTGTGATAATTCCTTACAGATGTTTTATGTAATATTTATTTCATAATAATTTTGGAAATAAAATTTTTAAGGGAATTAAATTTGGTGAAGAAGACGTAAATTTACCTATTTATAGGGAGTTCTCAACATCTCCGTGAAAAACTATTAATACATAAAAGTTTTCAATTATACTAAATCAATTCATAGAAAAAAGCCACAAATTAAAGATGTTAAGGATAGTATGATCAAGAATCAATGAACTATCTTAGGACGTAATATAGGACGTTAAAATTAGCGAACGAAAAAAAAAAAATATTTGCGGACGAAAATAATTTAAAGATGATTTTCAAAAAAAGTATTAGGTTTTGACGATTTACACGGGCCGCAGAAAATCGATCTGCGAGAGAAGTCCCCGTACAACCATACCCACCTATCCGTACGACAAATAAATCTGTCGTGGTAATAAATAATTAAACAAAGAAATCGGAGTTTCTGTCAAATTTAAAACCTTTTTAGTATTATTCAAAATGTTTTGTATATCCGATATTCATAATTCAAATAACTGCGTTAAACGGATCGAAGAATCTATCTTAAAGAAGCATATAAAACATTATGAATTTAAACATTTTTATAATGTTGAAAAGATTGGAAATGGGAATTCTGGAGTAATTTATCGTGCAAAATGGAAAAATTCCGAACAATATATGATATTAAAATCTTTCTATAACTTTGACAATGATGCTACTGTAAAGGAAATTATACGTGAGGTAATAATAAAGGTTATTATATACATTAAATATACATTAAATATACACATTAAATACACATTAAACACACATTAACGTTAAATACACATTAAATACACATTAAATATATTAATCAATTGTATTTATGATTTAGTTCGAACTTCAACGTAAAGTTAACTTTCATAATAATATCATTCGCTTACATGGGATTACAGACAAAAGTATAAAATATTTAAATTCTTAATTATATTTGCTTTGCTTGTATAGTTTGTATAATAAAATTAATTATTCTACTATCTAATATTTTAGAAAATCAAGATGGTCAGGTGAAATATTTATTGGTAATGGAGTATGCTGATGGTGATACACTCCAAAACTATTTGAAAGAAAGTTATAAGAAACTTACTTGGGAAGATAAATATGAATTAGCATTTCAATTAGTGTCTGCTATATCATGTTTACATAATAAAGGAATCGTACATCAGAATTTGGTAATTAATAATTTAATTTCATTAAATTAATTTTAATATTTTACTTTTATATTTATATTTACTATATTAATAATATTATAGCACTCTAATAACATACTAGTTCATCAAAATACCATCAAGCTGGCTGACTTTGGGTTATCAAAAAGAATTAGAGATGCAACCAAACAAGAATCATATTTATCTGGTATTGTTCCTTATATTGATCCAAAAAAGTTTATAATACAAACATACTCATTAAATGAAAAGAGTGATGTTTATAGTATTGGAGTACTTTTATGGGAGATATCAAGTGGACAACCACCATTTAAAAGTATTCTTAATACTTATTTAGATACGCATATTTTACAAGGGTATAGAGAAACACCTATTCCAGGTACACCTACCGATTATTCTAATATTTATACTGGTAAATAAAACTTTGGATTTTTTTGATTCCATTATTCATAATTAATTTTTATCATTAATTTTTTTTATTTATTTATATTTATTTAGAATGTTGGGATGGTGAACCAATTAATAGACCATCTATTAATGAAATAATCACCAAATTGAAACAACTTAATAATAATAATTTATTACATGAAGAATTATCCCATATTATTCGAAATTTTGATAAAAATTATACAAAAGAAATAGAACCTTCAATTCAAAATATAAATGAAACAATATTTGAAGAAGATTTAAATATTGTAATTGATGATTTAATTAATAATGTTTTTAAAGAAATAACTGAAGGAAGAGAATTAGTAAGAAAGAAAAGATTTTTTGATTATATTAATAATCAAAATATAAATTTAAAAGAAATTTATACTTGGATTTTAAATAATCAAAATAATTCAAATTCTATTTATTTACTTGGATATCTTAATTATCATGGAATTGATCATATTAATATTAATAAGAAAAAAGGTATTGAACTTTATAAAAAAGCAGCAGAATTAGAAAATAATACAGCACAATTTGATCTTGCTTATATGTATTTATGTGGAAAAGGTATTGAAAAAAATAATATCAAGGCTTTTGAATTGGCTAATAAATTAACAGAAAAAAAATATACAGCTGGTATAAATATGTTAGGTTATTGTTATGAAAAAGGTATTGGAACTGAAATGAATGAATTTAAAGCATTTGAATTTTATCAAAAATCTTCAGATTTAGGTTATTATACTGGAATAAGTAATTTGGGTCGTTGTTATGAAAATGGAGTTGGTGTAAGTATAAATATAAAAAAAGCTTTTAATTTATATCAAAAAGCGGCAAGTTTAGGTAATGATTTTGCTCAATGTAATCTTGGTACGATGTATAAAAATGGAATTGGTGTTAAAAAAGATATGGAACAGGCAATTTTTTGGTATGAAAAATCTGCTGAGCAAGGAAATTTAGATGCTCAACATAAAATGATTAGTCTCAAAAATGTTAAATATTTTTTATTAGAGTAATGTTATAGAGTAGTAAAATTTAAATAAATATTGTATAAATTATAAATTTTAACAATACTATAAAGTTGTTTTTTGTTTGTATAAAATAAACGTTTTTTTTTTCGAAATATGGTATACGAACATTTTTTCTCGATAATTTTGAATGTTAAAGAGCCAATTGGAAATTACGCAATATAATCACTAAATATTGGTGCAAATGACCTCATTTAATGAAGTAATGTATAATTATCCCACCGCCTATATCCCATACTATAAAATCCCAAATTCATATCTTAAATCCCATATCCGAAAAAAATCCATACCCGATTTCATATCCCGTACCAATTCCAATCCCATATCCCATATCCCAATCCATATCCTATTCCTCATTAAATTTTATTATTACATTATTATTATATATTTTTTTGTTTGTACAGTATATTGACATATTTTAAATTTATAAAAACATTAATATTTGCAGTGTTACATGACTAGATGTTACGATGTACGATAATAAATTTATTTGTTTTTAATTGCATATAAAATAAAATTTTATTTATATTATCACTTTAGAGATTATTTTTATTTCAAAATATCACAATATTTATATTGTTATTATTTATCAACTCATCAATATCAAATTTTAAATTCTCATGAATAATTGAAACTTTTATCAGAATCATTACCCGACATACTTGCTGATAAAGCGATTTCTAAATAACAATTATTTATTCCATCAAGATTTATATTTTCATCATTCAATATATAATTCTCAAAGTTAAAATTTAAATATCAAAGAATTTAATTAAGCATTTATTTATTATTAATTGTACAGTATATTATTTATCATTAAAATATATACAGTATAAAAATAACTAATGGTAAAAATAATATAATAAATATAATAAATACAAAAGAAATTAGGATATGGGATTAGGATATGTGATATGGGGATATAGAATTAGGATAATGTGACATGGAATGGAATATGGGTAATGGGATGAGTGGGATTCTCCAATGGTATGGCGGCAAGTACAGTTTATATCATACTGGAACATTGATGCAATCTACTACTCTACAGACAATCCTCCAAGTTCCTTTAACCTACTTCTGATTGTTATTTTCAAGTTTTCGTGACTTCCAGCTCCCTCTTTAGCTCGATTTAACTTCTTGTTAACAGAATTCTTTCTCTGGAGACCTTCGGATCAGAACCTTCAGCAGAGCCAAATCATTACCAGTGAAATATCAAGTAAACGGTAAGCACAATAAAATTTATTTTTCGGCTTTTAGGAAACTAAAATATCTTAAAAATGATTATCTTAAACTAGAATCGGACTTCTTAACAATCAACTTCAGTACGATGTCCAGGTTTTACATCTCGTTACCAGTGTATAAAGAAGGTCGATCTTTCTAGACCATAAGTATAAATTTGATTCCGTGTTTCTCTTTTTCTGACCTGTTTACAGTATTTCCTCCTATAAAAGGTTGAGCAAACGGACAACTTTTTAAAATCATTTCACTGACAATCATTTCACCAACAATCATTTCACCGACAATTATCTCGCCAACAATTATCTCGCCGACAGATGTTTCACCAACAATCATTTCACCGACAGTCATTTCACCAATAGTTTTGAAATCCTAATCCACTTACTCTAACCTAATACTAGCCTAATCCTAACCTAATTTTCTTACCTAACACTAACTTTAATCCTAAATTTCCTTGTCGGTGAGAGAATTGTCGGCAAAACAATTGTCTGCGAAATGACCCTGTTGGTGAAACGTCTGTCAGATAATTGTCGGTGAATGTCAGTGAAATGAATGCGACCCATCCGCTGAACCATAAGAAGAAAAAAAAATCCAAAGTGGAGCAATTAAAATACTATGTAAATTTTATTCATCGGTTTACACAACTAATTATTATAACGCGATTGATTTTGTAAGTATTCGCGCAATCATGAAAAATCATTATTTGTTATCCTATTAAAAATTTAAGTCATTTTAATTTATCATTCATTAATTAGTAGGGAATGGTTCTCAAATTGATTTTGAATTTTAGCAGTGATAGCAAAGTGACTTGGATCATTAGTACAGTCATTTCGAGGTTGTCATTTAAATTACATCATGTGATCTCATGATTTAATTTTAATTTTAATTTAATTTTATTTCACAAAGTGACAGTACAAATTACAAAGAAATTAATAAATAAAATCAAACGTAACTCTAACAAGCCGCTACAAGGCGATGTCACCTTGGTGATAAAAGTGAAAAGGGACAGAAGGGAAACGGGGATGCTCTGAGAGCATCATGACACCATCATGTCTTCATGTGATCTCATGATTCTGGCCAAAATTATCATAATTTGTGGTAAAATATCACGTGACGTTATGAATTTGTAATTCTGGCCGGCATCATAAATTTGCCCTGAGTTACATATTCAAAGGGTCGTTTCAAAATGGCAAAATGACCGCCATTATTGAAATGTAATTTTTGTACCCTATGCGGCACAATCACAGCACATCGCATCAAGAAAAATATAATCACGTGATTAAAGAGTATAAAACAATTAATAATTTTGAATTACAGATCGCATCTCTAACCTTTGTAGTATATTCTAAAATTATTATCTCAGCTATTGTCTGAGTCATTTTAACCGATTTTAAAAATAGAATCTAGTGTTTTATCCGGGTCTGTCCTACCCAGTTATGTTAGCAGATATAGGTTTTTTTAACAGTTATCCAAATATTACATTCAATCAAACTATTAAACTTCATAAATTTCTAATGCCAAAGGGAATTATGATTGAAATTTATAAAAAAAACTACATTTTTTTATTTATCATATTATTATTAATTAACGTTAATTATTTCATTAAGTTTCCAAAATATTTCTTTTTTCTTGTGCAGAAATTAGAAAAAAGTAGTTATCATTTACATGGTCGATCAATTTGGATAAGTTTTATCGATCAAATTTACTGAATTTGAAAATTGGTTCAATTTTAATCAAGGTCAATTGCTATTCTGACAGAAATAAATCAATTCTTTTTCTAAACATTGAATTTATGAAACTTTGATATTATTGAAACTTTAAAAAATAAAGAAGTCTTATAGAAAAACATTGTTAAAGCTCATCAATTAACCATCAATACACCAATTAATTCTGACTGATAATTATAATTAGCCAGAGGTAATAAATATTTCATTCGGTCAAAATTTTATTTGTGGGATGATAATAACTTCGGAAGGCATTTTACTAGTAAACATCCTTAATTCTGGTCAGAGTTAGCATCTTAATTCTGACATAATTTAATTCGGTTGAATTACCCAGGTAATAGGATATATATGTATCAACATAAAAACGGATACAAAATGGGTCATTTTTACCCAATTGTTATTTCATAACCTGGATACTAATAAATTATAAATACACTGAATTCCATTTCACCGAAGCCATTTTATCGAATGGACATTTCGCCGAATGGACATCCAAAAAATTATTTATTTCATTTGGTTATTTTATTGTTTTTATACTAAATACATAAAGAAATGTTTTCTAGAAAAAATTTTGAATTAGCTGATTTATTAAATTTATCTCATTGTTTATAATATATTAATAGTCTTCTTTTTTTTACTTACTTTTTTGTGAATAAATGTTTTCAGGAAAATAAAGTTATTTATTTCTTTCTTAACAATTAACATTAATTATTTGAATATTAAAGTGATAATATCCTGGAAAAAAAAAATCTCTAAAAAATAATTTAATTGCCGGTCCGCTCCACTTATCAGTACAAAATGATCAGCAATTCTAGTGGTCTGAACCGGTGATCCGCAATCCAGTGATCCTCTGGATATATCCGTTTAACCAGATTGAAAGTTTGCTAAATGGATAGGTTTCACTGGATCAGCGGATATTCAGTGAATATCTGGTGGATATTTCCTCATTTCTAATTTTTCTTATTTCTCTCGTGTTTTTTGTGACAAAATGTCTTCAACTATATCCAAATAACTAATAACCGGTTGAAAATCAAGTGAAAAGTTATTACTAAAAAAGGAAGCAACGTGCTGAAAAGGTACTTTAATTACTAAAGGTATTACCTTTGAACCTACTAAATATTTAGAATTATTTATTGAAACAGAAGAAAAAGAGAGTAGCACTGGACCTTTACAAAATGAAGAAAAAAAGGAGGTTCATTGTAGTTGGACTAATTTATATTATTAAAATCCTTCTTTATTAAATAAAATGAAACGAAAGGATTACACTACATGCTGATGACTGTGCAATAAAATATAAATAAAAAAATCATATTTGTCAATTTATCATCGAAAAAAATGTCAAAATTTAAGCTTTTAAATTAATTATACTATCTGTTTCTAACCGCAATTGCATATCCGGTTATGTTATGGGCGGATACAGATTTTAAACCAGTTAAGAAATTTTTCAAATGGATAAAACCCGTACAGATCAACAGATCACCAGTTCGGACCACTAGGCAATTCTATAATTAATTTCAAAAGTCTTTTATTCTTTTATACAGTGTGGCAAAAAAAATGGGAATTTTATTTTTGATCATTAATGTTCAATTATACTAATGAAAAAACGTGAAATTTACTGTATTTTAAAGCTCAAGATCAGCTGATTTTACTAAAAAAAATTTTAATATTATATATATTCGCCATTATTTCAATAATTAACTTACAACATCGTCTAATTGACTTTAAAATATCGATTATAATAATTTTTAGAATATTTTGGCATTTCTCCATCACAAATTCTTCCAAATAATTAAAATTTTTTTGGTATTCGCTTTTCTGCCTTATTTTTTGTGATATCTTATAAATTTCAATAGGATTTGGGTCAGGGCTATCTCATGACCACCCTGAGACTTCTGATGAATTTTCTTTTAGACTGAGCTTGGAAAAATGACTATTATGCATGGTAGTTTTCTTGTTGGAAATACCAAGCAATGAACGACCACAAAGCATCCAGGAGACCTCAGAAACATGTGTACAAAAGATTTCTGGGAGTTGCCTTGTGAAGTTTTTTTTTACTAAAGTTCTTGTAGAAAAGAATGTATTGTGTCTTACATATTGACTGAGTGTACGGAATGTACTTGCGGTAATTTTTTTTAGGTCTTCCATTCCCTCTAGGATGCTCCAAAAACTAGTTTTTTTTGTTTTTATAAATTGACAATAAAAATTACATGGGTTGTGTAATCATTTAATATTATATATACCATTATTTCATAAGTCTGATGAGAATTTATCATGTTATTATAGGTTTTTCTTTTTTCGCAAGCCATTGTTTTGGAATTTCTCATGAAAATAAAGGGCGTTAATGGACGCAAAGACAGTCAAACATAGTCACAGATATTATGTATTTAAGTGGTACAAATTCAGTTTATTTTTGGCGATGTAGATCATTTTATTCACGTGATCACCTTTCCCATTTTTTTTGTCTGTATATTAAATACTATTGCTCTGGAATGGTGTTTGCACTATCTTAAAATCACGTCACAATAACATAAATACTTCAAAAATTTGCTAGAAAAAGGTATTACATTACCTGGGTATGTTTTCCAAAACCGGTAGGATCAAGGTGTGCAAAAAAAAACTACAAATCTATAAATCAAAAAAATCAATCGTAATGACGGCAACTTTTAAAGAACCAACTACAGAAGAGGTGGTTGATACCATAAATAAATTTAGGAAAAACTTGCTGAATGAAGTGCAAGCCAAAATGGTCTTGACTCCATTAAAAGACTAAAGCTTAATGAGAGTTATTTTATTAAATATTTAAGAGCAAATTTTTCTTCTAAATGATATAAAAAAAACATGTAACGAGACGCGTAGGATAACGTCATGCTGGTCATATTGAATTCGTTATTATCCGTTATCCGAGAAAGCTGATCAATCAGGTCAGATTTATATATGTGATCAAAGGAGTTTACCACAAATTCCCGACAACCATAATATTGAGTATTTACAGTCTACAATTCCGACACCGAAATCCCGAAATTCTTGACGTTCAAAATCCCAAAGTTTTTTTTTTCAAAAAAAAAANACGCCATAAATAGTATTTAAAAAAAAAAAAAAAAAATTATAAATCTTTTATAAATTTCTAATTAAACAAATAATTTTAAAAATACAGCGGCGCAGTACCGAGTCTTAATTTATCTAATTAAAAATATAATTTGAATTATTTGATTAAATATTTGTAAATTTTATCAATACCAATGCAAATTGTTGCGAATTTTTTTAATATTAATGCAAATTAACTAACGTTACTACTATATTATTAATGAAATTAAAAGGAAAATTTTTTATTTTAACTAATATGTACGGTATATTACTAAATTACTAATCTTTTGAAATTAGAAACAATTGCATTAAAAATTCAGTCAGGATTTTGGCTGTCAAGATTTTAGATCATCGGGATTCTGTGACTGTCAAGATTTTAATTCAACTAGGATTCGCATTTATCGGGATTGTGGTGTCGGGGTTATTATAGACTTTCGATATTATGGTTGTCAGGATTTTTGGGAGATCCCGATCGAAGACATGCAAATAGAGCTCACGTAAAATAATAAATGAATATGTTTACCTTAAAGAAGTATTATCTTAAAAAATTGCTTGCGGTAAAAAACATATTTCTTGTGTACAAACTAAATATATTAGTACTTAATACTTAAAAAATTTAATGTGAAATTAAATTCTAACGAGAAAAAAAGATATTTTTAAACATCAAATATACTTTTTTTTTACTTGGCCTAGTTTCCATAAAAATATATTTCGGTATATTTAATACAAAAGAAAAAGTACATATTATTTACTTTTTATTTTATTTTGAATGCGAATAATTTATAATAAAAAAAATAAATACTAACTAAAAAGAGAAAAAAAAGTATTATTATAATATTTATAGTGCAAAAGCCACATTGTCGAATAAATATAAGTCCTTTACACGGCTTATTATAGAAATCTATTTTCAAAACGTCATTTCAAGAGAATTCTGCGTTTAAGATGCCAGTAAAGATGTAATCTGAATAAAATTTAATATAAAGTAATTTCAAGCAAATATTAAATTGTTTATAAAATTTGAACACATATTAATATTATAGTAATACGATATAATTGAATAAATAATGATCGATAAATGATCATTCTGCCACGATTATACATGCTACGAGTGCTGATACTGCTTCTTCTTCTGAAATTCCTATTATTGCTGATTCGATCGCAGATGCGCCTGTCATATTAATCACAAAAAAAGAGTTAATAGTCTTCAGAAATATATAATCTGTGATATCAAGTTTTCACTCACCTTCAACTTGAGCTGCTACTCCCATCTCTGATGCTATCATTTCTATAGTAACCTCTAGAGTGAAAAACAAAAATAAAAAATTATATATATATATATATACCTATTTAACTATATCTAAAAGCAATTTTTTTTGGTAAAATTCAAAATTGATGACGAACCTACTGGTTTTCCTCCAACTTTGACTACGAATATAATGAATAATTTAGTCGTAAATCACAGTACATTTGAATTACATATTCTAAACATCATAGTAAAATAATATTTTTACCTCCGTATCTAAGCGCATTCGCTATTTTGTCTGCTAAACTATACACTGCATTCGAACTCAATTTTTCTATATTTTTAAAAACGGCTAGCTCAATATTTGTTGCATCGAACGTTTTAATAGCATCAGTGAGACCTAAATTTTTAAACCGCCAAGCATAGTTTTTTCCTGAACTAAAAGCTTGCAAAGCTTTTCCGTACAATTGTTTTAATTGAGTAAATGACTCAGCGCCTTGCACATACTGTGGAATCTGTCTTTCCATAAAAGGGCCGATTACATCCCAATCATTCTGAAACACGAGAATGTCTTTAAAAATTTTCGGAATTGCATAAGTAGATTCTGCTGTGGTTAAAAAACCCAGGGTTAATGTGAGAATTAGTATAAGGGTAAAGACACGCATGACTGATGGTGTTCTAGATAACAAAATAGATGGTATTTTTGTCACAATTCGCAAATAAACAGAGGTATACTCAAAGAGATTAAAGTAAAGAAGTTAGTTATCTTTGCATTTCAAAATTGGAGATTATTTATACATATCCTCAAGAAATTGACCATGGGAATCTATATCAAATTAAGTTCTAAGTATCATACTCAACGAAAAGTAAATGAGTTAGTGAAAGGCATCATACACATACAACACACGCGCAAAAATTAAAGAAAAGAAAATGAAAATGAAAATTATACACAAAATGAGCTTTTTTATTGAATTAACACAGCTTATTCATGACAGCAGATCCAGTATAGAAGAATTTATTTAAAAAGAATTTATTTTAAATCAACCTTTTAAAATATCTCGTACTGTAATGATAAGTCGATCATTGATCGATCAAGTATTCGAATACGTCTTTTTCTATTTCTTTGTCAATTAGGATAATCAATTATTTCGAAATATAGTGGACACTTGATAATTTTTATTGTCGGAATTGTCGGGTACTCGGGTTACTCGGCTAGTCGGGTTATTAGAAAAGATATATAACACGTAACATATATATATATAATTCCCGACATTCATTTTCCCGACGATAAATATCCCGAAAGACAAATCGCGACATGACATTTTCTTGAATTCAATTTATGAAACTGTAACTTTGATTAGGTATATAGTATTTAACAATAATGCATTATAAATCGCAAATTTTAAATTTTTTAAAATTAGTTTTATTGATAATATTGTTTTATGATAAATAACGAGTAAAAAAATTAGTAAAAAATATTACGCAAAAAGTAAATTAAATGAATATAATAAACATAAAATAAAATTTATTTTTATTTTTATTTTTTTTACAGTTAAATCAAGTATTTTTGTGAATCATTTTTTGTAATTTGATTTCGGTAAAATATCATGTTCGGGAAAATGTCATGTCGGGAAAATATCATGTTCGGGAAAATGTCATGTCGGGAAAATGTCATGTCGGGAAAATGTCATGTCGGGAAAATGTCATGTCGGGAAAATATAATGTCATGTCGGGAAAATATAATGGATGTCGGGAATCTATCCCTTTTCGGTCTTTTCAATTTCGGCCTTTTTTCCTTTCAAACTTCTAATTAATTTATCGCCAACAACGATCCAGTATGGAAGAAGGTATATTTTTTAAAAATTAAAAACCAGTATGAAAGAAGGTATATTTTTTAAAATTGAAAATTATATGGTATATTTTAAAAAGAATTTACTTAAAAATTCTTATTTTAATTAGTAAAAGAGAGTTTTCAAAAATCATATTTCACATGTTCACATTTTTTGAAAGAAAAGTATATTAGGACTCGCCTTTTTCGAAAATGCATGAATATATTCAAATATGCTCCAACCACGAGTTTTTTTTTTTTTTGCATGAAATTTAAAAAGAGTTTCAAAAATCATTCTTTCTTGAGCTAAACTGTAAATCACAAATTTTGCTTTTCATATTTCACATGTTCACGTATTTTGAAACGATGATAGCGAAAAGTATTTATTATTTTAAATTAATAAGAAAGAATTTTAAGAAGTGATAGATTTTAATGATCGTCTTAAAAAAAATATATAAATAAATATATAATTGTAAGCCCAAAATTTTATAACCTAATAAACCCAATAATAACATAAAGATGATAAAGCCAAATAAATACTTTGTTTTCGTAATATCCTTATCTCTTATGTTTAACGTAGCTTCCGCTCTACAAACAACCTGGGATTGTACAAGCAAAACTACTGCTAGACTTACAGATGCTCGATGGAGTGTTGATTCTAATAATGCGCCTGTTATTACCGTCACCTACCAAGGACCAGATCCTATCCAGGCCATCGATAAATTCATGATTTCCCCTTCGCATTATTGGGATTTAGAACATGCCTATTATATATACGCCATTGATCCTATCTTCATGAACGGTTATAGTAGTGATATGTTTAATGGTACAAACAGTAGTACGTATGTTGGAAGCAATCCACATACCATGCAAATACCTTATGATCCTCGCAACCTTCCGCCATCTGGAACAGAAGTTATGGTCTCATCAGGAGTCTATCACAGCTGTCATCGCGATAATGATGATAGTGAATTAGCGTGCGCATATTGTGGGTGGGCTGTATTTCGGAATATTCCATAATTATTTCAATGTGCATTTTTCTTAGAAATGATTTTGACTAATAAGTTATCAGTGTACTACGTGCTGAACATTAATATTGAATCAATAACATGTTTAATTTATTAAGTAACAAATTTAAATTTTTATAACAAATGTATTTTCGCATTTTTTTTTATTTTTATTTTTATTATTTTTTTTGAAATTCTATTATTATATTCAATAAACCTAAGAGAAATTTCGAGAAAGAATTTTTCATTGAAAATTTAACTTCTCTAGTGTTACATGACATGATATTTAAAAAATGATTTTTTAGCTTTAAATCCACCTAAGGTTTTCACTCCAAAGATAAACTAGGATATAATAGTTTTAATTTATGTATACAATATTTTTTATTATAGTAGAACATGAAAAAGAATTTCCATTTTAATTGACTTAAAGGTGACATGCGTTATCCATAATACAATACTATATACAATTTACCACAATATACAAAATTTTCCCGCCGAGTTATACTATGTTAACGAATTTTCTTATAACGTTATAAAGGAGTAGACTGTACTGTAATTACCTGTTTTATTATACCGGAAGAAAATAATTTTTAATATATTATTTTATTCTTTCTTAAAAATAATTCAGCCAGTTCTTAGTTATAAGGGGATAGTTTTGGGAGGTCTGATTTATTAGATAAGAATGGTTGTATTTAAGTTTATGGTAGCAAGATGTATATTGTATAGCGTATCATTACATTTAATCATTAAAAAGTTATTGTTCTTGGTATCAAATTACACAGTAAAAATGATGAAAATTAATTAGAAAATAAAATTTGGCATCGTGCAAAATTTCTTTGTTTAAAGTATCGTGTGGACCAATCAAATTCTGAGGAGTACAGGTTAAGGATGCTCTTAAACTTTGAGATCGTGACCTCATGTGGCCTATTCCGATATAATAGCTAATGATAGCACGTGATTTAAAACAGATGTTTTAAAACAATTTAAATCAGTTAAAACGTTTTTAAATTTTTTCACTATTATGGCGCAGTAAAGAAACTATATAAACTTTTTGTTACTACTTGAACATCGCTTAGAACTCAAAACAAGTGCGAATAAACAGTCTACCCTTCTCTCTGTCAATCCATACCTACTAGTATTTACGTATGGTAAAGGTCTTAGACTCTTAGAGGGTAGTAAAAAATTATTTTGTGTGTAAAAAAAAAACTTCGTCCCGTATAGGGCTGTATTGTTCTTTTAAAGGTCTAAGAGTTTCCCCTTTCCTGCATCTTAATATTTTATCTTTTAAACACTTTTAAAAATTTTATTCAATTTTACTATTATTACACTTTCTTTACAATATTATATGTCTTTCTCAAAACCCGTCACTTTTCCTCCCTCAAAAAAACTCCCTGAAAAAATTTCACGTGACTAAACCCTTAGATCTGGATCTACGAGACAAAACACCAATGATATTCATTTGAAAATACGCACAAAATTATCACATTAATTCTACCCCAATATCAACGAGTAAATTCCCCAATGTGAGATACCAGATCAGTAAAATGCTCACGCACTTTTTTAGTGATTCCACGACGTATACAAAGTAAATATTACGAGTTTACGACATGATTCGGTCGAAATTATTAGAACATATCAATATCATTGAACAAAGAAAAACACCAACAAAACATCAAAAACTTTTTTAAATTTTACATACAAACGTTATAGATTTTACTTTGGAATTTTTTATTCCGTGTAACGCACTATATTCTGATCAATCTGATGCGCTTAATAAACATTGTAATTGTACCGTACCGTCCCCTTTTATCATGTCATATGGCCAACGCGCTTACATCACTCATCAAAAATTAATATTTACACCGTTTTTAAATATTTTGAAAAAAAAGAACAAACACCAATCTACACGTCCCTCTATCACCATCAACAACAAAACATCCCATGCCAACTTACTTCATCAACGATGGCAGACACAACCTACAAAGACTATATTCTCTAAATGACTTGGTATTACCTGTATTACTTGTACAGTTAAATATCAAGCCAATGGACGCCAATTCCTCTTTAATCATGACAAATTTTATATTTACCGTAAGATATTTGAAAAATTTCACCATATCTAACTTAGGAACTAGAAATCCCTATAGACTTAAGACCTTTTATACCTGCTAATGGTCGCGTTTATCGCAATAATAAACAGAAAAAGAAATATCTTTTAGAACCAGTTAGTAAAAAATGGTTCGACGAATTACGTAGACGAAGAGACCAACACGGTGCAATAACCAGAGGCGAACGACGGGATCACGCCGCAGAACGAAAAACTAGACTGCTTGGTACTTCCATCAACAAAGTAGATCAACGTATAGATATGGGACGTGATCTTACTCAATATCAAGCCATTTATCATAATCGTATGACTTGCTATAGCTCCTATCTCCACAAAATTACCGACCCTGCAAAATTAGTCGAACTTGATTCGGATTTAAGCTGGATTATTTTTCAGTAATCGACCCTAACCAAATACATTACCGTTACAATTTAACAAAGGCGAAACGTCGGACGATACCAAAGAACTTGAAAGATGACCTAACAAACGCAATGTCGATAATAACGGCAATTTAGATTCGTATAGAATCACTCACTTGGACATGAAACCTCGTGCTTCAACCGACCTTTTTATCGGCTCTTCGGTTGGAGAAGATCTTACTTTTACTTAAATTGAGAATTAATTCAGAGCCAAACAACATTTTATTACACATGTAGTAGTAACCATATTCTATACACTACAACATTTACATCATTGTGTGAACCATTCCACTTCTAATAGTATTGACAAGTGGCGACCTTGTGTCGATAGCAAAATACGGGTCCTTCTTTTATTTAGGATTGTTTTATTTTTATTTGTTTTTGTAGGATCACTAAGATGTCCGTGGTTTTTTTTTTTCTTTTTTCTTTTTAAAATTTGGTTAATTGACGTAGTCCTATTTTCTCAAATAGTTCCGACCGAAGGACGAGGTCCTGTTTTTAATGGGATGAACGTTAAAGATCTACACATACTGTTTTCTTAAGCACTTGGGCGCTAAATACTTGTATTTGCAATAGACTATAATTACTACTCTTTTGAAATAAAATAAATAAAAAATAAATAAAAGTTTTTTTTTTTTTTTGTTTTAAAACATTGATTGGCATTATTATTGTGTAATTATATTTTAATCAATAAATAACCTTTATTGTATTTTAAAGCAACCTTTAGTGATCTCTTTGCAAACAGCTTTTTTAAAATTATTTCTCGTGGAAGACACCATCAGAAGACGTCCGTAAGCACTTTGAAAAAGTTACAGAAGTTGATGGGCGTGGTCGAAAAACACCTCGTCAAAAGTGTAATTATTGCGGAAATGTCATTATTGATTTAATTGATAGATTAAAAGATTATTTGATGAAAAATGTAAAAGTCTTAAATTTTATTTTACATAGTAATGCTTCATGCTTTAAAACGTGTTAAAACATGTTTGCCGTCTCTAATAGTAGCAGTAAAATCTTAATCATGTCAATACTATGTTGATGCCCATTGGCAAAATATCGTTCTAATAATAAATAACAAAAATTACTCCCAACAGATTTTATGTTCAGTTATTATAAAATACATTACATTGACAGGATATTAAAAAGACTTAGCATTAATTTAATTTTGCTATGTCACGCACTTAATAACTTTCTATGTTTTACGCAATCTTACAAATGTTATTAGATTTTACATATGCTGTTATTCCACATGCGTTACGTAACTACCAGAAATACATCATTTTTAAAACAATTTTTAAAAAAATTTGTTATTTATTTATTTAATAACACCTGAAATTTAGTTAAACCAGATTTTTTTAACCAAGTTCTATATGGCACCTGTATGATTTAAATCACTATTTAATTATATTATAGATGGTAATTACAGTATGTGATTATATTACAGTGAAATTCAATATACCAGAACTTCAATATAATGGATCATATGTAAAATTTTGACAAATTTTACTAAACGAACGGATAGTTCCATTATATATTTATTTACTGTAATATTCATATAATTCAAACTAATTATATTCTTTCTTTAAATCATTATTTGGCAATTTATTTTAGATGGTAAATTATAAATTATTTATTTAATTTTATTATTACATATTTATTGTCTGGAGTGAAGGACTACGCAATACGAAAATTTGTGATAAGCACACGTTTCTCTGTCCACCACATGATCGTCAGCCGCCAATAAAATGGCAAGGTCCGCAGCCTATATATAACATTTCCATATAAATTAAGTTAATTTTTATATGAAAACTTAGAAAAGTAAGTTATCTATTTAATTTCTATTATTGTATAAATTATGTTTGCATATAATTTGATTTTTAAATTAAATTTTTTAAACGTTTATTTAATAAATAATATAGCATGTAAATTATTTATTATCTTTATTGTTATAATATTTACTTATAATTTAAACTAATTGGATTTTTTGATAGTAATTTATTTCAGATGATAAGTTATAAGTTTCTATTATTAGTTATTATTTATGTAAAATTTATTTAATCTAACAAAAGTTTTTTATTTGATGAATTCAATAGAAATATAGATATAACTTACACCCTGAAGTATTATTAATTATTAATTTATAGTTAGGCCATACAAACTTGATTTTATGGTTTTCATAATATAAAAATTTCATCAATAACCCAGCAACCCGGCTTTTAATTTTTTTTTTCTAAAATTTTATATGCAAAATTTTTTTCAATTTTTAAAAAATTCTCACCCGGCATAGTAATAATATAAAAAAATTTTTTTTAAGACTTAACAAAACTGACCCGGCCGACTATGAAAACCATTTTTACCACTTTGTGTCGCCTTAGATATAAATATAAAACAAAAGTATTTACTGTAAATTAAATGTATCACTTACAATCTAGTTATTTATATAAAGTATATAATTAGTTGAGTTATATAAATTATTAAACAAATAAATAT